TTGCTAGGGACTTGCCCGGCACTTGCTCTCTACCTCTATTTGTTATCTTACTTCTATCATTGACAGTCCCTCTAGGTTGTGGGCTGCTTGCCTGTGTTCCTGAGAAGCATCTACGGTACCAGTCTATAGAGTGTGTTTTCTTTAGTGAATTACCGGTATGTTTACCGGTAATAAACTTGCACTGTTTTATGTATATGTTTGATTACACACAGCCTTGTGACAGTTTTCCTGCATGTCATAAGCATTTGAATATAAATTAAAATGTTAAAATCAAATCTGATATTGTTTTACCTTTTATTTGGTGTGTGGAAGGTGTGCGGAAGAGGGGGTAGTCTTATACGGCGAGTATATAACAAACTCTGTATTTTGAGTGGAAATGTTAGGGGGTCATCTTATACGCCCAGTCGTCTTATACGCCGGCAAATACGGTACTTGGATACTACCAGATCCATATATGAGAAGGGAAATCTAACCACTCTAAAACCATTACTCCTGCCTGGCCGGTGTGGTTCAGTGATTAAGCATCTACCTATGAACCAGGAGGTTCCATTCCTGGTCAGGGCACAATACCAGGTTGTGGGCTCAGTTCTCAGTAGGGGGCATGCTGGAGGCAGCCCACCAATTATTCTCTCTCATCATTGATATTTCCATGTCTCTCTCCCTTTCCCTTCTTAGAAATCAATAAAAATACATTTAAAAAAATTCTGGTTGAAGCTCATGCTGGGTATAGCTCAGCTGGTCAGAACATTGTCCAATACACCAAGGCTGTGGGTTTGATCTCTGGTCAGTGCATATCCAAGAAGCAATCAATGAAATCATAATTAATTAGAACAAATCTGTCTCTCCCTTCTTTACTCTTTCTCAAATCAATTTTTAAAAAATTCTAGTTGAGAGCAGTTATTTAGAGTATGTTGCAGGATGGCACCGATGTATCTTTTATGTGTCTCTTCTAGTAGTATGAGAAAAGTTCACCTACAATTCAATAAATACTAAAAATAGTATTAATAAAAATACCATCTCATTAACAACAAAGAATAATTTCTCTACCCACCTCTAAATCAGATAAAGATTTTTTTGAGGCAGGAGACACAGGAGTAGTAGACTGATATGTACTGTGACGTTTTTGTGATACTTTCCTTTTGATTTCTGACTCCAAGTATGATTCAGATTCTTCTGTCTTGTTCATTATATGATCTAAAGGAAGGAGACAAAAACAAAAGTACTAAAATGAAATTTTATAAATTCCTCATGATCCTTGTTATGAAAAAATACTAACTTATAGTATCAAATTGTTTTAGTTAAAATAATGTTTCAACATAATAAATTATGATCAGAACTTTAAGCCAGACAATCCTATATAATAAAAGCCTAATATATTAAGTGTCTGGTCGACTGGTCAGCCGTTCAATCAAAGCATAACATGCTAATGATATGCTAAGGCCACTCAACTGCTTGCTATGATGTGCACTGACCACAAGGGGACAGACGCTCTGACAGATAGGTTAGCTTTATGCCGCAGTCCAGCTGATCGGGACTGAGTGAAACGGGCCAGACATGCCCTGGAGCCCTCCCGCGGCCCCTCCACGGCTGGCCAACCTTCTGCATCTCTCCCCGGCCCCGACTATGCACTGGTGGGGACCCTTGGCCTGGCCTGCACCCTCTTGCAATCCAGGACAACTCGGAGAATGTTGGAGAGCCGATTTTGGCCAGATCCCGCAGGCATATCTATGTAATAAAAGCCTAAGTGACCATTATGGCGGAATGACCAGTCGCTATGATGCGTACTGACCACCAGAAAGCAGACGCTCAATGCAGGAGTGCAGCTCAGCCAGGGTTCAAGTGGCAGTGCTAAGAAGCAGCGAGCCGAGTGGTAAGGAGCAGGGAGCAGGTGGACAGTTAAGAAACAAGGGGTCCTGGACTGTGAGAGAGCATAGGCCAGACTGAGGGACACCCCCTCCCGTGCACAAATTTCATGCACTAGGCCTCTAGTTACATGATAAAATATTACAAAACTATAGGTGCACAGAATTTGTGCATGGGTAGGGTCCCTAGGCCTGGCCAGCGATCAGGGCCAATCTGTGGGGCGACCGGCGAGGTGATCGAGGCCCCCGCTCACACTTGCCTTGGCGGGCCTGGCACTGCCTGCTCACCAGCCCCACCTCCCAATGGAGCCTGGGGGACAGCTCCTGTGTGTAGTGTCTGCCCCCTGGTGGTCAATACGCATCATAGCAATCAGTCATTCTGCCAGTTTTTATGCCTTTCGGTCAATTTGCATACTATGGTTTTATATAGTTAAAAAAAAATACAATTTTGATGCTATAACCCAAAAGAATTTGAGTCTTGAATTTAACGAAAAATAATAAAGATTTCAATTTGTAATCACCTGAATGCGCAACCAATTCTTGGTGATTTCATTCAAAATTAAATTCTCAAGTCAGTTATAAGAAATGTTTTTTTACATATTTATATTATAACTGGGAATATTTTATAGCCAAGGTCATATCTTTACTTCTACCTTTCAGACAACTACTCAAAACATTTTACAGATGTAACAGGTAAAACTGCACACTTACCAACATCTTGGGGCCAACTTAACCTTACAGGATTATTTTCAAATTTTTGGACATGAGGTGGATATTCTTTCCTATAAAAGGGAATATACATAGTTTGATTCTAACAAAAGACATATTTTTCAAAATGAAAAAATTGAGGAAATACTTATACTTTAAAAGCATGGCTACTTTGCTATATAAAACTGATACTATAAAATAACAAAACTGTACCACAGAAATATACTAATAATATAAGATCCCTAAAGTCAGTGAATTTTTGTTTAATTTATCAAACCTCATAGCAGGCATTCAAATTACTGTTCTTTCAAAGTAGTTCCCCAAATGCATAAATTAGAATTTTCCTTTTGGCATTTCCTTCATAATCTATACTAATAATAGTGGAATATGCAAATTGTCCAGGACGCTGTCACAGTAACAGTAACGACTGAACAGCAGGCAGGCAGGCTGCGTGGGGTGACAAGGCCAGCAGAGGGGTTAGTGAGGGGGACCAAACGACTGAGCAGCAGGCTATATGGGGTGACCAGGCCAGTGGGGAGGGTAGGGAGTTAGGCGTGACCAGGCCAACAGAGGGGGGCAGTTGAGGGTGACCAGGCTGGTAGGGGGAGGAAAGTTGGGGGTGACCCAGTCCAGCTGGGGGGCATTTGTGGTGACAAGGCGGGCAAGGGGAGGGCAGTTAGGGGCGATCAGGCTGGCAAGCAGCGGTGGTAAGGGGTGATCGGGCTGGCACACAGAGGCAGTTAGGGATGACCAGGCAGACAGGCAGGTGAGCAGTTAAGAGCCAGCAGTCCCAGAATGTAAGAGGGATGTCTGACTGCCGGGTTAGGCCCAAATAGGAAGTCAGACATCCCCCAAAGGGTCCCAGATTGGAGAGGGTGCAGACTGGACTGAGGGATCCCAGGCTTCGATTTCGTGCACCAGGCTCCTAGTCAGTTAATAAAAACCACATTACATGCCCTAGCTGGTTTGACTCAGTGGATAGTGTGAGCTTGCAAACCGAAGGGTCTTGGGTTCGATTCTAGTAAAGGGCATGTACCTTGATTACAGGCTCCTCCCTGGCCCAGGCTCTAGTCAGGCGCATACAGGAGGCAACCAATCAATGTGTTTCTCTCACATCAATATTTCTCTGTCTTTCCCACTCTCTTCCACTCTTTCTAAAAATCAATGGAAAAATATCCTCGGGTGAGGGTTAAA